TATGAGCTCGTAGGCTCGACAAAAAATATTTCCGTAGAACCCGCATAAACCGGTCCGGCCTGTCCACCACCCCGGACGAAACTTTGCTCCTCGTCTAAGCCTCGTCCGTGAGAGTTCGACAGAAACGAACAGTCTGGTCGACTGTTCCCTTATGGCCTTATCTCCTACTAATCTTATATTAGGCGGAAGAGTCCAACATATACACTTTAGAGGGAGGGCACTATAACAGTCTTTATATCTACATACGTTTCTTTATATCTACATAAGATTCTTTATACCTATATATGAGTTATTTTGTTGTGTCTAAGTAAATGGTTAAAGAAATAACAAAACAAGTGTTAGACATAGATCATATATTAAACAATAAGTACAACAGAAAAGTATTACACGACTAGTGAGTGTTGGTTGACTAAACCGTCAATCTAGTCGACTGTTATGCCAAGGCTTTCTCTCCTACTAATCTTATAGTAGGCGGAATAGCCCAACATAGACTGTTTAGAGGAAGGACACAACAAGTTCGTTCGGTTATTATCGATCGTTTAAGCTGTATCTCAGTAATACATATACATACATACATACATACATACATACATACATACATACAAGATTACAGATTTATTATTACATAGATGTAAATTAAAAAATAGAATTGATTGCAAAATAAAGGAAGCGATATAATTAAATGCAAAGGAGAAAAATGAAAATAATTGTTGTTTTTCATTGAAAACGTGCGATTCATATTAAAAAATAAAATAGAATAAAATTAATAGAAATCGAAAAACAATATCTTGGTACAAATACATAGAAATAGACTCTGGAATTCACCCACAATTTATATTCCGAAGTCCCATTGGGAGTGGGGATACATTTTCACACGAAAATTGATTTCCCGGAAAACCCCAATTTTTTCTGACTCGATATCCGGCCGATCTTTCTAATAATGTTCTCTCTTGGGATTCCACTTCTTTTGTGGTTTCCTGATTCTCTCTCTTGTCTTCGCTGTCGGCAAGCTTTCAAACTGATATCATAAATAACAGAAATAATTAAAAGCCATGGTATTATTAAAATGTATTCTGAAACATTTAATAACTGCTAAGAAATTAGCAATTACGTGTTTTAATGCGTGAACCTATTTCCTTCCGTTAATGTTCGGCTGGCGGCAAGTTTAAACAGGACTCAATATAATTTAAAATTTATATATATATTTTTTTCAAATATTTTTATTTTTAAAAATGAAACAAACAAGCATTTTTGTAACAAAAGCATGTTTTGTAACATTCTCTTTTATGTCCAGGATTTGTTAAAACCAAACATTATTCTGAATAATTAATGAAAATAGAAGCGACGGCAAAGGAGGTCAAGCGTGACAGTAGTAACAACGTCAACAGCAGTAAGAGCATTTGGATTAAATTCCGCGATCACAGTACGATAGCACAATAGCCGAGAGTATTAACGCGTTGATTTGTGAATTTGGAAGTGTAACTGTGAGTTCAATCCCTGTTAAAACAGACTCAATGAGAACGAAGCAAATTAATAGTGTATGCTTTGCAGGGTAAGTCCATCATGTGCTTTTATTTATATGTAGATAGTATGTGGGGTAGATTAAATAAATGATTCACATCGAAATTCTTTGAAGGCTACCAGTATAGGTCAACATCTGCAGAAGGTCATAGAGCACAACGGCTGAAATATTGTGATAATAAAAACAAAGAGATTAGTCCAAATGTAATTCACGTAAATAACGAAACGCTCTTTCTATCCACAGCCCTAACTGAGCTCCCCTGTACCTTTTCTTTTATTATTGCCCTTCTTCTAATTCTTCTGATTAGATTTCCACTTTGATACCCAGACTTTATGAATTTAAGTGCAGTACTGGATTGGCGGAAAGGTCTCATCATTTTACAGCTGATAGAAATGACCGGAAGTTGTACGCTAACGGTTTCTTCTGTCGTACCCCACGCTTGTAGAACATTTTCAACTTCTTGCTTTCCAGTCAAGTTTGATGTTCACAAAATTAAATGCAATGTTATTCGTCATCTTCTGTCTTCGTTATTCCTGTTCTTTTATTGAACTCCGTTCTTAATAACATTTTCTTTTCCTCATATTTTTTCTCATCCGTTGCGTCTTAATGGCTTTATTGCCGTGTTTGGGGTGAAATGATTTAAAAAAAAAGACTCCTCATCCCCGAAAGTCAAACAGAAATTAAAAGAAAATCTGTTTACGTATATAATCGGCCAGTCTTGCGTTTTATAAGCACAACAGTTGCAAATAAGAGATCTATCGGTCAATCGACTTGATAAGTCACATAACTAAACTTATCAAACGGATTCTGACACTAGGAGAATTAAACGGGAAATAGGATCCGAATAATTTGTAATCTTTAAAGATATTTCTACAATCAATACTATCTTTGTGACCAAACGACTAACAGAGAAACTAATACAAATTCGGAAAGACCTATATTAATATTACATTGACTACTCAAAAGATCTAATGTCAATCTTCCTATCTATCATGGAATACTTGGCAATTTCCAGTCATATGAAAAAGAGACTTGAGGCAACAGACATTTTGTTCAACAGAAGTAATCTGATAATACTACGGGCTGAGCATGTGAGCAACGAATTCGTTTCATGGAAAATGGAGACAAAGCGGACATTGATACTGAGTATCAGAAAATTCCAGTTGAAATTTCTTGAACTTCAAGAATTTGTCGCAAGTAAGATAGGAAGGGCAGAGGATTCTACCTAACGTGCTTGTGTAAATTGTCTTGGAATTCTAGTAAGGTGACAAGAATTGATATAAGATAAAGATCTCGGGGAAGCTATGACTACCAAACCCTCTGAGGAGATGAAGTGAATAACCATAAGACAAAAAGTACTACATGGAACAGTCCGGCTATGATAAGTATCAGAAACAACTCATAAACCAAATCGGAATGGTATAACTGAGGGCAGCCGTCTAGGCCATGTCGTTTGGGCGCCAGTTGCTTTGGCGTGGTTGTTTTGGCGCCATTTACTCTGGGGCGGTTGTTTTGGCGCCAGTTGCTTTGGCGCGGTTGATTTTGGACCAGTTGATTTGATGCCAGACTATCGGAGGCTAGTAAAATGATGCTCATTGATACATCATCATTCAACGGTAGAACTTAAAAAAAACAAATATGACTGTAACGTAAAAATCTCGTTATCAATAAAACAAAAAAACTCTACTTTAGATTTTTTAGTTCATGTCGTAATTATGAGCAAGATTCCTTTTAATATTCAGTCGTATCCATGGTGGACGCAAATGAAGTGACGAACACACATACACTCATATATATATATATATATATATATATATATATATTCTTAAATAAGGTGTTGAAACAAAATGGTTATTTTCGTAGTGATCTTATAACATATTTATGTTATAATTTTTTAAATAAATAATTATATATATATATATATATATATATATATATATATATATATATATATATATATATATATGAATGGTAATACTCCTTTTGAAAAACCTCGGATGGATCAATTTTAATATGTCAAATTGATGTTCGAGTAAAAACTAGAAACAAAAAAAAGAAAGAACCAAGGGAATCCTCTCGTCGAGTACTTGAGCTCAAAGTCCAAAGAAAAACAAAAACAAAAAAAAACAAGTAAAAGACTAAAAGTAAAGTGGTCAATACACTAAGTGGAACAAAAACTAAAATAATCCTAAGAAGCCAGGTTAACCTACCTAGGTTTCACCTAAACGGATCTTCAGTGTAAAACTGGCTAAAAGGCAAATAATGGAAGAGTATTTATTGATAAAACAAATAATATAATTCACTTATTTGTTTTTTAGCCAGTTTTACCCTGAAGATCCGTTTAGGTGAAACCTAGGTAGGTTAACCTGGCTCCTTAGATTATTTTAGTTATATATATATATATATATATATATATAATTATTTATTTAAAAATATGATTCCAACGCTATATAAGAGTTCTCATGTTATATATATATATATATATATATATATATATAAGTTGTTACATACGGAAAAACAAATAATCCCTATAAAGATGCATATAGTTTCGATACTTGAAGGTAAGCAACTCATCAAGTGAGGAAAAATGGTTATCTTCGGTATTGACTCCTCTTTTAAATTAATGTTATGAATGTTTTAATGGACACATGTCACAGTGGAAAAAAGGCGTTAGATCCAGTGACTGGACCCAAAGAGTGTGAGTTCAATACCTGGGTAAGGCGGTGGAGAACTTGGAGGAAGGAATTAACCGGAGATAACTGATAACTGACACCCATAAGACATGGCACGTGGAAGTAGAACACTCTACCCTAGTGAGCGAAATAAAGGGTTCAGTTCGACATTACAACCAGCTGAAGAAAGCCGGAGCGTACAAAGGCCGAAACGTTGTAATAAATATGGCGACAAAGATGAGGAAAATTGTGCGAATAATGTAAATAGTGTAGGGAATATTTCATTCTTCAGCTGAAGGCGGTGAATGTTGTATGAATGTGTGGTTGGATATCTCTAGAAGGATGCCAGTAAATTTTAGAACTTTCCACAATAATGTTGTTAATTTTCTCAAGACCTGGAGATTTCTTGATGGCAAAATCTTTGAGTATTGATTTGAATTCATTGAGCGTGAATGGGTTTGTGTTTATGTCCAGTGTATTGTATATTTTATGTATTGGAAGACCACTAAATTGCGGTGGGCTTGCTTCAGCAATTGGAGATTCGTCTCCATCTGTGCTCGTCAAGCTAAGAAAGGAACCCAGACAAAGCTATGCCGAAGGGCAGAGTCTCGTCTCGAGTGATAGACGTTTTTACGGGGTCTACGGGGCATTAAAAACGCCTTTGTGCCCCATCTTGGAGGTGAGATAAATAACCTTGTGGTGGTTCTCCCAGTTGTTTCTTAAAGTGATCAAACCTGTTAGCTTTACGCCTTTCAGTGGAACCGCCTTTGAACCGAATGGAAAGCTTTGATTTACTTCCTGAGAGCATGTCTATTGTTTTCCATACTGCAGCGTGTCGTGTCTCTTACAATATTGTCGATCTCTCTTTGAATGTATTCTGCGTCTATATTGGCATCAGACTCATCAAGTATACCGTGTGCTTTAGTGGTATCTTTAAAAGTTCTTCTAATTAGCTTCTTTTTATAACTCTGTTTTCCTCTTTCCAGATCTTTTCTTGCCTTCCTCACACGGGCATCTGAACTGATGTAGGTGGGCTGTAGTCTTTTCCTCCTTGAAAAAAGATTTAGAATAATCTACCGCCGTAGAGTTACCGTGGTGTAATGGATAGCGGCTCGGATTAAGGAATCGGAGATCCGAGTTCGAATTCCAGTTACATTCACTTGCGATTTAATACCCTTGGGAAAGGTATGACACCTCTTCTTCTCCCACCAGCTATGGATAAATAGTAGGACAGACCAGGTTCTATAGCCTTGGAGGGCAACAGGTCTACCGCAGAAAGAAATGGCAACATACCGTAGGAAAAAAAATCTGCCTCGTCAGTCATGTATCTAAAGATACATGATCGCCTATGCGTGTATCACGTATGGCACATAACTGATTGACTGAATGAATGAAGCACACTATGGGTAAATAGCAGGACAGACCGGGTTCTATAGCCTTCGATGGCAACTGGTCTACCGCAGAAAGAAATACCAACTTACTACGGGGAAAAAAATCTGCTTCGTCAGTCATCAATCGAAAGCGAATTGTATCACGCATGGCACATAACTGACTGATTGACCATAAAGGGTTCGGTTCGAAATTTCAAGAAATATAACTCAAAGAAGGTCGGGCGTTCTACGACAGAATGGTCGTGCATATGGCAATAAAGATGAGGGCAACAGTCAGAACAATGTAAATAGTGTTAATAAATTACTCTCGTTGTCTTTTGGTGTTTCCTCTTCCTATTCTTGCGTTCAATATGCCCTGTGGGTGTAAGATTCTCAAAGCTATCTTTCCTCACGTAGAAATTACAGCTGTTTCTTTCTGAAGATTAGCAATAATCCCTTTGTGTTTCTGTTGTAGTAAAGAAAAGACTGTCAACTGATAGTAGCAACTGCAATAGATTTCTTGTTTCTCGGCCACAACACTTGTAGCCAAATCGCAGTTTACACGATAGTCCGACGTAACAGTCCAACACACACCGTAGAAACGACAAAATGGGGTCACAAATCCAACCTTCACTTCTCGCCAACAACAACGCGTGTTCGTCCCTCCTCTCAAAAAAAAAAAAATCATCTTCTTTTATAAGCGAAAAACAACGACTTCTGTTCACCGAGAGAATTTTCTGATTGGTCACGCCATTCAAGGGAGGGAAGAACATTAGCATAGCTTCTAGTCTTTGATGTAGATTTGTGCTCACTACTTTTTGGTAATTTTTCTTCGGCAGATCGCACACAAAGCACGAACTTTTTTTCGGTGTAGCTGATTATCTCTTTAACTACGGTTTCTTTTCCCTATTAAATTCTAATATGTATCTTTCGATTGACGACACCCTAATTACAAGTCCCTGTTAATTATAACGCATGTCGCTTGCATATAAAATATATTGCTTAGTCTGGCACAAGGCTACAATTTCTAGAGTATAGTAATGTCAACACTGGTTGTGAGAAACATTTCAGTATCCCTTCACGTATCTTTTTCATCGGTGAGGAGATTGTCCAACATTCACTGAAGATGTAATTTTTTTTGTTTTTTTACTTATAACGGCTTTTCCTAAATCTTTTTACTTTGCTTAGAATCTGAAAGTAACTTTTCCAATGCGCATTCCGATTTCTGTTCCACAACGTCTTCTCTGACTAAAATAAACAGATAATGTTTTATGTAAACACTTGATGCTGAGTTCCTCAAAACGTATCTCGTAAATTACGTTGTCTCTTTTACTGACAACCATTCTTTTCCTTTCTTTTTTTCTAACAGTAGGCCAATTATTGGCATATTTATAGTCCAAGTGGCAATTTAAAGAAATAAAAAAATACTGTCTTGGCAAATTGAGACAGTACACTTTTTCAAATCTGAACCGTTTGTTTCACTAGTACTAAAAAAACGGGGAATTAATTACACGTCGAGCGACTACGCTCACATTTTACGCTTCGACCTCAAAGATCATACCTCCGAAAATCGAAGTATTAATTGCCACGAAACTTATCTAATTACCATAACGATATTAACAAAAGTGTCACAGATTTCTGCAATAATATTACATATATCTGCATTTTGAATTAGTTCGAGTTGAATGATTCAAAAAAGTCTTAATTAATAAGAGTTAATTAATTTTGCAGGCCAGCGACGTGTTAAGGAATAATTAATGCACCGTGAGAAGCCGTTTTATTGATAAGTTCTTTTAGCCAATTATCTGATTAATTCGGCTAAAAAATGAAGTCTTTTGTAAGCAGTATACTTAATTTAGACGATGTTAAATTATACAAAATGTTCCTCATCATATTCTGGAGATTAAAGACAGCATAAAGAGTGCGATATCTCTTT